CCTGCTGAAATCGTCACCCGGCGCTGCATGCTCTCCCAGCTCTTCTGCTACAGATCCGGGCTCAGGCTAAATGCACGTTGACAGACGCAAAGGCATCACGAGAGCTCCCAGAAATCTGCTCTCATCCTTCCCTGCCCTACCTGAACTTTCCTCCAAGCCTGTGCTGCTGGAGAGCCCTTAGCAGAGCCCTTAGCGGAGCCCTGGCGCGCCAGGCCTGCGGGCAGGAGCGCTGCCCCGCTCCCTCCTGCTCTGCTGCTTGCTCACCCCAGCCTGGCGGCAGTTAAGACCCACTCTGCGTGCAGGTGACCGCTTGCGTCTTTTGTACATCGTACATACACGTACAGAGCTCGGACAGGACAGACCCCTGCTCTGGTTTCCAGAGGAAGGAGAAATCGCACAGCAGCTGCTCACCCCCCGGGGCCACGACGCCCGCCGGCCGCTTCGCTCCGGCCGTCCTACCTGGCTGATGTCGCTGGTCCACGCAGCCTTCTCCTGCCTAGACGACGCCACCAGGATAACCGTAAAGGATGAGGAATCTTTTGGCTCCACCACAATTTTGAAATCGAGATGGTCTATATCTTGCCCGGATGCTTTTGCTTTAGAACAGGAAAAATAAGAACAGCGATTCCGAAAAGATTTTCCCACCCCCCACCCCTTCCCCTGGAAAAGCTTTTAATAAGGGTTTAATGAGCTTGTCGCATTTTGCAGGTTGTTTGTGGCAAGGACACGACAGGTTTGCTGGGCGAAGGCTCTGCGTTCGGAAAGCAAGACCTGCCCATCGCAAGAGCGGAGCAGCCTGCGGCAGCTCCACGCACCGGAGCACCCAGCTCACGCCAGGGCAGAATCTGGCTCCTGATTATTTTTGCTCCAAAGTTTTTAATGAGGACAAAAACTAGGAACCTGTGCTTTTTCACAACAAAAGCTATAGTTAGGCAGAAACGGCTGAAAACATCCTGCATCCTTGCCTTTTTCAACTTGTTAGCACTGTGCTGCGTGCCGTTCACTGGCTGCCTTAGCAAGATTGTATTTGCACAGATGTGCAGCTGTTTTGCCCACAGTAAATAATTTACTTAATTAAATCCAGTCAGTAGATCATGACTTCCTTGAATCTATTTGGTATTTGAATTGGCTCCTTGAGCTGCTCTGCCGTTGGTTTTACACCCTATGGATTAATTGCAAGCATTTCCAATGAGGACACAGCATCAGTTACAGAAAACGCCAGCAGCACAGCCTCGTTACTATCAGTCCCCAGCCACGAAGTACGGCTGCTGTCTCCAGCCAGGGAGAAACGGCTCCCAAAACAGAGAGATGGCAAGGAGCAGGCTATTGCAACCCCGGCTGTCCGGGACACCCCGACCCGCTGCGCAGCGCTTCGTGCTCGCGGCGACCGCAAGGGCCCTGACCCGCGCTGGCTTTGGGCTTCACCT